AGAACTTTAATGTTGGAGTTCAAGCATTGATGCTTCTTGATAAGATCTCATCAAAAAATCAAATTGTTAGCGACAGATTTTATCGTGCCTTGTATTCCAAGCTATTACTTCCTTCTGCAATGAACAGCTCCAAGGTAAGTAAACTTATCTGCTTTCTCCATATCCTATGTTTTAAATTTTTTATCTTTTTGCTAACATTCAAAGTTTCCATGGGTACAAATCTTTTTCAGGAAGAAATGTTCATTGGTCTTCTTTTACGAGCTATGAAAAACGATCTTAATTTGAAAAGGGTGTCAGCCTTTGCAAAACGTTTGTTGCAGGTAAGTAGTGAAATTTACACCTGACCCCTTTGATTCTTATGGTTTTTCTTTTCACACCCCCCTAATTAAAAATCTATAATGACAGGTTTCTTTACAGCAGCCACCTCAATATGCTTGTGCTTGCATCTTTCTTCTCTCTGAAGTCCTTAAATCAAAGCCACCTCTATGGTGAGGCTGCTTTTTGATCACATCATGGTCTTCAGATAAACAAACATGAGAAAGTTTCTCATCTAATTCTTTTTCTACAGGAACATGGTGCTTCAGAATGAGTTGGCTGATGAAGAACTTGAACATTTTGAAGACATAGTTGAAGAACAAGATAAACCAGGTGGTTCTGGTGATGCTGTTCTTAGCAACAATGGTGTTGATGATGACGATGATGATGATGCTGATGATGATAATGACATGCCAGAGGATCAAGGCGGGTCTCCAGCAGCCAGTTCTGATGATGATTTGGATAAAGATGATGACTTGCTTGGATTTGGAGGTTTGACCAAGCTTCGTGAAAGTCAAAGGAAATCTGGTGATGATAAAAGTCAACCACGAGTACAAACATTGCCTGGGGGATACGACCCTCGACATAGAGAACCTACTTATAGGTAATTTTCAAATATAAGAAAAAAACAATTAAAAAGATCAAAAGAAACAAAAGTCAGAATTCTATGATACAGAAATAAGTATTAAGTATGTTGTGACTGAGGTTGAGGTGTTGTTTTGATATGACAGCAATGCAGAGCGTGTAGGGTGGTGGGAATTAATGGTGTTAGCTTCACATGTACATCCATCAGTATCCACCATGGCAAAAACCCTTCTCTCAGGTGCCAACATTGTCTACAATGGAAACCCATTAAATGATCTTTCACTTGTGGCTTTCTTGGATAAATTCATGGAGAAAAAACCAAAAGAAAGAAACTGGCATGGTGGTTCTCAGATCGAACCTGCAAAACAGCTTGACATGAGCAAACCATTGATTGGAGCAGATATATTACAGTTGGATGAAATGGATGTAGCTCCAGAAGACGTTGTTTTCCATAGATTTTACATGAACAAGATGAACTCCACAAAGAAGCCGAAAAAGAAGAAGAAGAAGAAGGGGGCGGAGGATGAGGCGGCAGAGGACTTGATAGGTGAAGATGGGGAAGAAGAAGATGAAATGGAGGATGAGAGTGACAATGAAGAGATTGAAGCTATATTGGATTCGACTAATTCTGCTTTGAATGCAGATGGTGAGTATGATTATGATGATTTGGATGAGATTGTTGATGGAGATGATGAGGATTTGGTGGGGGGTGATAGTGATGATGATGGAATGGAGTTTCCAACAGATATTGCAGAAGATGGTGATGAAGATGATGATGATGATGATGATGAAGATGGTGATGTTGGTATTGGGGATGCAGAAGATGGAAGTGATGATGAAGAGGATGTGTTTGAGGTTAAACCGAAGAAAAGAAAGGCTGGTGCGTCGCCTTTTGCAAGTCTTGAAGATTATGAGCATTTGTTGGAAGATGATGATGATGATGAAGATGATAATGGTAAGGACACTAAGAAACAAAAGAAATCTAAGAAGGCTAAAGGATCCAAACCCAAGAGGAAGAAGAAAACATCCAATGAGTAAGAGTTATTTTGTGGTATTATTTGTTGGACTAGTGTAGAATAATGGTATTGACTAGAAGCAGAAGCATTTTTGTTAAGATTCTATAGCAGTAAAATCTGTATACGAGTCGCCATTATGAGAGATGAATATGGCTATATACTTTTTTCTTGTTTTTATTGGGTTAATATCACACTATTGTCATTTTGGTGTATTGCGAGTTTTTTTAACACCATTGAGATCAATTTTAATTTGCTAAACATGTATTGAACTCTTTGTAGCGTATATATTGCGTCCTGTTTGCAAAATTTGGTCACGTTATGTTCATATCATCATATGTACTTTAACTTTAATTTCCTTTGAACTTTTGATTTTGCAATATATTTAATTTAGTTTCAATTGTATTAAAGCTTTCCATCTACTGCTTAAACCCACTCTTCATTTCGCTCAACGGTTCTCCACAAACATCTCTGTCGTCATCAGAATTGGCATTTCCTTCCTGCTCTCTTCCATTCCCTACGTGTTTATGACACCACTAGAGACGAGGGATTAAATATATAAATTATATAAATTGGATTAAACCAAAAGATTGGAAAAGGAGAAACACACAATGCAAAAATCTGTGTTCGGACAAAAACTGGAACAAAGTCATTGCCGGTGTTGTCTAAAGCACAAAAATGGATTAAACAAAGTCTTTCTTTAATCCATTTTGTCCAAACATAGATTTCGGCACTGTAATTTCATTTTCAGGTAGGTTTCAATATTGTTTTTATAGAACATTGTTGGACATGATACCAAACATAACAGTCATACATTCCTGACAATCACTGAGAAATCAAGGGAATTATAATAATGGTGGTTCAGAGAAGTCTAAGAAGAAGGAAGGAAGTAAAAAAGATAACGGGAGGTTGACTTGAACAAGTTGACTTTTATCGAAAATATAACCTCAAATAGAAGGGCGTAGAGCTTAGAATCAGGGTAATAGAATAAGATATGAGTAGTCTAGGGACTAATTTCCTTTTCATGACATATGTTTGTCATATAATATTTACCTTGTTACTCCTCTTCTTTTTTTTACTTCCAACATTTATTACTAGTATCTGTTTTCTGATTTATTGCTAGCATTTGTTTTAATAGTTTATGTATTCATATACAATTTACTAGCTTACTCTCGTTTCTTTTTACTTTCAACTTCATTATTGACATCTTAAAATACACTACTGTTTATTATTCTCCTTTGTGGGATTTTCTATGTCTCATATGCATAAGATCATCTAGTATGAGCTCATGTTTTTTTTTTTTTTTTTTTTTTTTGTGGGATGTTTCTATGTCTCATATGCATGAGATCATAAGATCATCTAGTATGAGCATGGCCGTGCCAATGGGTAGGGCAGAACCGGACGACGACCCAGGGCATCTAAATTTCTAGGGCCCCATTTTTATATACATATTATGTTACTATAGAAAAAACATGTTATATCGTGTATAACAGATGATGTGAAATTTTTTTGAAAATAAAATTAACAATATCATTGGAGAAGACTAATGTTCTTGTAATTCTTCTGGAAGAATCATGATATTAGGCCACTCACCACCATTGATCTAAGAACTTTATGAATCGATTTTGGATTTTTCGAAGGTAACAAAAAATTTGATTCATAATAAATCAACTCTGGTTTTTTTAGGGTAGCATTCTGATTTTCGATTTCAATTTGTGTTTTATGATTTCAATCTTTCTTAATACATCGATTATGTTAATTGGATTTCATGCATCCTTAAAAAAAATTGATGATGTATTCCTGTTATTTTATTCGTGTTAATCTGATTTCGGGTAGTCTCAATGATTCTTGTAAAGATTCCGTTATTGTTCTTCAGATGTTTGATATTGTTTTTCTAAGAAAAAGTTAATTTATGTGTTTTTTCTTCTGATTTTATGTAGATAACACACGTTTTGAAATCCTTGTTATTGTCTAACAAACATTTATCTAGTAGTAATAAAAGGAAAGAAAAAAAAACAAAAACGGAACAACTATTTCTATTATAAAAACGATCTGTGGATAAATTTTTAACAAGAGTATCATTTTAAAATTATAAAATCAAAAACATAATTGTCGTCCCTTTTTATTATTTTGTTATTATAAAGGCTTCACTTTTTATTTTTATTTTTTTGTTATTGTAAAGGCCTCATTTTTTTATTTTACCCAGAACCTCAGGACCTTAAATTAGCTTGTACCGGCTGAATATGAGCATGAGTTCATGTTTTTCTTTTTGTAAGATGTCTCTATGTCTCATATGCATAAAATCGGCTGAATATGAACTCATGTTTTTCTTTTCGTGGGATGTTTCTATGTCTCATATGCATAAGAGTTCATGTTTTTCTTTTGTTAGAGGTTGTCAAGGCTCCTCCCTTTTAACTAGAGACTCAGTTGTCTTCATATTAGCTTGTCGTCCCTTTTTACTATTTTGTTATTATAAATGCCTCACTTTTTATTTTTATTTTTCTATTATTATAAAGGCTTCACTTTTTTATTTTGCCCAGGACCTTAAATTAGTTAGTTTGTACCGACTGAATATAAGCATGAGCTCATGTTTTTCTTTTTGTGGGATGTCTCTATGTGATGTGTCATATGCATAAAATCGGTTGAATATGAGCTCATGTTTTTCTTTTCGTGAGATGTCTCTATGTCTCATGTCATTTTCGACTGAATATAAGCATGAGCTCATGTTTTTTTTTTTGTGGGATGTCTCTATGTGATATGTGTCATATGCATAAAATCGGTTGAATATCTTTTCGTGAGATGTCTCTATGTCTCATGTCATTTTTTCTCTTCATGGGATGTCTATGTCTCATATGCATAAGACCTCATGTTTTTCTTTTGTTAGAGGCCGTCAAACGCTCCTACCTTTTAACTAGAAACTAGAGACCACTTGTCTTCATATTACCTCTTATTTACCCAAATCTTGTGAGATTTGGTATATATTTTTTTTTCCTAGGGTGGTATTAATTAAGATCTTTCTTTTGATTGTCCATTTATCATTATCATTATCTTGATATCGGTCACATTTGGACCAACTATGTATATAGAGTGTATAATTAAATACTCCAATTAAAAAATTGAACAAAATCACAATAACTGATGGTCCATTCCATTAACCCCTTTTTTCCGAGACTGAAAGTGGAAACCTACTACGAATTGAAAATTAGTTCATCGATTCAAACCATATCGACACTGCATTACATTACACCATAACATAAAATCAACTTATACAGGAACTAAACCCCAACCCAAACCCAAATAAACATTCCTAAATCCTAAAATTACTATCCACTTCAAGCAATTGCTACTTCAACAGTCCTGGATTTGGGTGGCGGAGGGATCTTCTCCACCGTCACTGTCAACACACCGTTTTCGCACTTGGCGGTGATGGCCGACATGTTGCAGTTATCAGGTAGCCGGAATTTCCTCATCAGCTTCCGAGGAGGTCTCCTTTCCAGTCTCAGGTACTTGCACCCTCCTTCCTCATCATTCTCCTCACGCTTCCTCTTCCCATTGCTTCTCACTACCAGTAATTTCTCCTCCTCCACCGTCACCTACAACCAACAATCACACAATTCAGTCGATCTCTTCATTCTCCAAATCGCTAATTTTCTTCAAAAAAAAAAAATCATTTACCTGGATGTCGGATTTGGATAAACCAGGGACGTCCATGTACATAATCAGTTCCTTGGGTGTCTCCAGTATATCCACCTCAATGTTGCCTTCCGATTCGCCATTTCCGTGATGAGAACGAGAAGAAGGGAAGATTACCTTCCCAAGTGCGTCAGGGACGTCCAGTAGATGGCTCACTAAACCACCAAAATCCAGATCTCCTGGAGAAGAAATTGCAACCCTGCTCATGATTTTGTTTCTTTTGAGATTAGAATTGAGTATTGATTGGTTGATTTCTTGATTCACGAGAAGTAAAGGGGAGGAGTGAGATTTTAATCAAGACGAAGAAAGTTCTGGTGAATGTGGAGAAAAGTCTAGAAGCATCAGGGAGTCACTCGTGGCTTGACCACATGTCTCCACGTATCCCCTTATGCTATTGCTTTGATTTTTTGGAACGGGTCGCTCCGGTTGTTCTCCCATGTTAACATTCAATAGTTTGATCTTCAAAAGTGAGTTTTTTAAAAATAGCCAAAGTCTTTAATAAATTAATTATTTTTAGCTAAAACAATTGAGTTTTTTTTAAAAGTAATCAAATAAAAAACAATGTGCAAATCAAAAAGTTTAACCATTTACATAAAATATCCCAAAGATATAAAAATACATGAACTATGATGAGTTAATACCAATGTTCTACAAAGTTCGTCGTGGCTTCGTTATGGCACGCCATGGCTCCAAGGTTTATACTTGCCGCCAAGCTTTAACAAAATGCCGACTTAAGTCATATATGTATATAAAAATAAATAATAGTAGAAAATATATATAATAATAATAATATATACAAAATTGCCGTCTTAAGTCGCGTCTTACAAACGATATGACTTGCCAAAACTCGTAAAAGTTTGAGGTTTGACATTGTCGCCAAAGTCACAACGTACGTTATTTAGAACCTTGGTAAATACAATATATTTGGCTAAATTAGACATGTTAAATGATGCATAAAATTCATCTAAATCGTCTTTATGCCAATATGTTGATATCTTCACTAAGGTTCTTCTGATGCAACTCTCCAATGATTTCAAGTCTAGTTTGACTGTCCATAATTACACTCCTTATAAAACTGTAGGGGATGCTAGCAACTAGACTCTTTGTATTGTATTTGATTGTATAACTATAACGTCCCATTTTCACAACCAAAATTTTCATTTTTAGTTACGATAAAACTCAGGGTCATATCCACTTAGAATGTATACAATAGAAAAATTAGGAACTATCTTAGAAAAAATAAAGGACCTATCTTGAGTTTTTTTTTTTTTTTTTTTAATTTCTTAAAAAACCATTTTAAAAAGAGAAATATATAAGTTATTAGGGCAATTTGTTATTTTAAATTATGAGATTGATAACAAAAAGTTAACCACTCTTAATCGGCACTCTCAAAATATTAATAAATAAATAAGTTTGTCTAATAAAATGAAAGACCACATGCCAAAGACTCTCACTCTCCGTTCGCCGCTTTATCAATAGACTAATAATCAACTACTTTTTCGTTAAATCGTACGCATTTTTAAGTTATATTTCAATCGGTTTTTTAAACTTTTTAATCGGTGACACAAGGTACATGAGCCGATTGAACTGGTTCAGTTCTTTTAAGGTACATGAGCTGAAACATCCCAAAAATACTAGCCAAAAATTTCGTTTTCAAAATCATTTAGCAAACATAAGTATCATCGCCATAGTATAAAATCATAAAACACGTATCTCAAAATCTAATAAAATCTGTCAACATATCACAGTCTCATATAAAATATCAGAGTAACTCCCAGGCTAAGAAAACTGTGGTGTGTGTCATGCCATCAATCCGAGCCCTTTCCCTTGTAAGCTGAAGTACCTGAAATCAAAATTGAAACTGTAAGCACGAAGCTTAGTGAGCTCCCCCAAACTACCACATACCATACACATAACACATATAACAATCACATAACTCTGGGACTACTCCCAACTGCATCGGGACGAATCCCGACATCGGCTTACCCGGCATCGGACTCCTGCCCGACATCGGGCTCACCCCGGCATCCGACCACATCGGGCATCGGGGTCACCCCGGCATCGGGCTTACCCCGACACATACACATCATAACATATATCATAAACATATAATCTGCATCGGGATTGCCCCGACATCGGACCGAAGCCCGGAACACATAATCATAACATATAACTACTATACATCGGGCTTGCCCCGGAACATATAATTCATGGCATAATAATTAACATACATCGGGCTTACCCCGGAACACATAACTCCTAACACATAAACATGCATGAATCACAAAGACATCAGGCATACATAACTACTCTCGGGACCGCCCCGACATCGGACCGAGGTCCGGAACATATAAACTGCATCGGGCTAATCCCGACATCGGGATTACCTCGACATACTCTACAACTTAAACGGACCGGCATTGTGGCCGTAGACCCGTTCCTACTGGAAGGAAACTCACCACATATGGCTGACTGCTGAAAAACTGGGTGAAGGTTCCCTATCTGCTGCTCCGGCGACTCTCCGGCTATAATTCCATAACCACACTTAATTAAAAACTAATAATCCTTCTTAGGGTAAAATGACCATTTTACCCTTCTGGTCAAAGTCATCGCCAAAGTCAAAGTCAACTCTCAGTCAACCCAACTCGCCGAGTCCCTCTACCGACTCGTCGAGTTCAAACGGTCATAACCTCGGGACATCTCGATTCTACTCGTTGAGTTCTTTTGCTTCCGAGTCTCACTCACGTCCAACTCGCCGAGTCATCTTCTTAACTCAGTGGTTTCACTCATAATCAAAGAAGGGTTTGGGGACATCGATCCGACTCGGCGAGTCCATTGCATTCTCAGATTATACAGTTGATCCTAGGTGATTCCACTGCCTCTAGTTCATAGATCTGGACCCCTTAGGCTAGAATAACACGTAAAGTTGCTAACTTTACGTGCATGCATGATGCTATGAAGCTAAATCACCCAAAAACAAGCTAGAAATGAGAGTCTAGGGCATAGAATGGGATATTGGCTGAATAAAGGTGGCAACTTTGAACTTCTGGAGCTCAAGAGTGCCAAGATCTAAAGTCCTTATAGTCCCAAAAGATCTCTACCCGAAATTAGCTTGGAAAGGACCCAAAAGTGGCAACAAACAAGCTTTCATGAAGATCTAAATGAAAAATAAGCCAAGGTATAAACTTTATACCTTCAAGAGCTCTGAAGTGCAACAAAAACTCTGGATCTCCTGCCTCTTCTTGAATCACCAATAGATCTCTTCCTTCTCCTAACTACAAATCACAAAAAAATGGCAAGAAAGGCTTTAAGACACTCAATGGTTGCTAGGGTTTCGAGAATGGACTGAGGAGGTGATCGAGGCTGGGGTGGAGGTCCATAATGTTGCTTAAATAGGGTGCAAACCCTAAAGATTAGGGTTTCCTCCTGATGGACCTACTCGCCGAGTCCATGCCTGACTCGTCGAGTAGTCCACTTAAACCCCGCGGTCCAGCTCGCATCTACTCGACGAGTTAGGGCTACCAACTCGTCGAGTAGCTATTATAAAATGAACATTTAGAGAATTACTTTCGTACCAGGAATGTGGCGTTACAATTCTCCCCCACTTGTCTTAGACTTCGTCCTCGAAGTCTGCTGAATCTGGAAACAACTCCGGGTAGTGCTCCCTCATCTCCTCCTCGGGCTCCCATGTCCACTCTGAACCCTTCCGGTGCTGCCACTGCACCTTCACTAACTCTACTCTCTTGTTCCTCAGCTCCTTCACCTTGCGATCTAAAATCGTCACTGGTCTCTCGATATAGTTCAGGCTATCATCAACCTGAATGTCCTCAAAGGGGTACCACTGCTGACTCATCTACTAAGCACTTCCGCAACTGAGAAACATGGAAAGTGCTGTGGATCTGGCTGAGCTCTGCTGGAAGATCTAGCCGATAAGCAACCCGACCCACCCGGGCCAAAACCCTAAACGAACCAATGAACCTGGGACCCAGCTTGCCCCGCTTCCGAAATCTGATAACACCCTTCCAGGGTGACACCTTCAGGAGAACCATATCGCCCTCCTGAAATTCCAAGTCCAAACGCCGCTTGTCGGCGTAACTCTTCTGCCGACTCTGAGCAGTCTGGAGCCTGCTCCGGACTTGCTGAATCCGCTCTTTGGTCTTGAGTACTACCTCCGTACTCCCCATGACTCTCTGACCAACCTCACCCCAACAGATTGGGGTCCTGCACTTCCTCCCATAGAGCATCTCGAAGGGAGGTCGGTCTATACTGGAGTGATAGCTGTTGTTATATGAAAATTCCGCTAGCGGAAGATACGTATCCCAATTGCCACCAAAGTCTAACACACATGCTTGAAGCATGTCCTCGAGAGTCTGAATCGTCCTCTCGCTCTGTCCGTCCGTCTGAGGGTGGAAAGCGGTGCTGAAGTGGAGACGAGTACTCATCTCGTCGTGAAACCGCTTCCAAAACCTGGAAGTAAACCGGACATCTTGGTCTGACACCACCGAGACAGGCACTCCATGACGTGCCACTACCTCTCGCACATAAATCTCGGCCAACTTCTCAGCCGAGATGCTCTCCTAGATTGGTATAAAATGGGTGCTCTTGGTCAACCGATCCACGATAACCCAAATCGAATCAACCCCACGTGCGGTCCTGGGAAGCTTAGTAATGAAGTCCATATTGATATCCTCCCATTTCCACACAGGTATGACTAACGGTTGCATCTTGCCGTGGGGCCTCTGGTGCTCTGCCTTGACCTTCCTGCAGGTCAGGCATCTTTCCACATACCAAGCTACGTCCCGCTTCATGCAGGGCCACCAGTAGTCGGGTCGAATATCCCTGTACATCTTCGTCGCCCCTTGATGGATGGAGAACCGCGACTTGTGGGCCTCATCCATCAACACCTGCCGTACTCCGCCCCAGTATGGTACCCAGACCCTCCCATGCAGGGTCAATAATCATCGGCTATCGTAATCAAACGAAGCTACTCGGCCTACTATCCTCTCGCACTTCTGGCGCACCTCCTTCAGGCCCTCAACCCGCGTCTCCCTAATCTTCTCCAACAATGGAGTAACTACTATCATCCTCAGGCAGATATCTCGAATCGGAGCCGCTACCGCCTTGCGGCTCAGGGCGTCGGCCACTACGTTGGCCTTGTCCGGGTGATAAAGGATCTCACAGTCGTAGTCCTTCACCACATCTAACCACCGACGCTGCCTCATGTTCAGATTCGGCTGATCCATGAGGTACCTCAAACTCTTGTGTTCCGTGTAGATAGTACACCAGACTCCGTAGAGGTAATGCCGCCAGATCTTGAGGGCGAACACTACGGCCCCCAG